ATGTATAGTGCCTAACTTTTTAACAAAGGATAACTGCAGAACATTATGTTGATGATACGAGTTCCTGGACCTTTTTTTTTACCACATCTAAGTTTTAAACTATGTGTCTATTTATACGTATATTATAATATTATGTTTGTATAATCAAAGTTTATTGGAATTTATCAAGTACCTACGGTCAATGGTAGCAACATGTGTTGTATATCTTTGTTGTCTGTAAGTATTATTAACGAAAACTAATAATTATACCAAAGAATTTATGGTAAAATGTTTTGAATATTGCAAAAATATAAAAACCGTTTTATATCTTTTTCTTAACAAAAAATGTATTGAACCACTTCCCTCTCCACTGAAGGTATTTAAATTAAATTATTAAAATAATTGGAACACCTTCAAAATACTTCCATATATTATTAAAATATTATATTTGTCGTTTTCATTATTTTATTTAATATGCAGAGCGAAACCTATTTTGAACTAAAAGTAAAATTATGAAATACATGTTGGGATATTAAATTTATTTGTGGTACATTATCATTCAGTCTTAAATACCAAAATTTAATAAATTGTAAATGCTTATATTTTTATATTTTATAGTTACATTTACAAGCTACAATTTTCAATTTTGAATATAATAATATAGTTATTAAATTCTATAGTTGTAAACAAACAAGTGAGCAAGTTTGTAGGTAATCGGAATGCCTTAAAATTGGAGTCAAGTGTACCTAACCATAGAAGATGTTAATACATAAATTTCGTAAATAATTCAAGTATCTACGGTGATTTGGGTTTGAATAAAGTTTATTAAAATAAGAAAATTGATTTTGGCAAAAAACTGGCTTTGTGTAAATAATTTCAAAGTTCCATTTAATTTTTTTTCAATTTTTTAGACAAATACTGGGCATTTTCACTTTTGTTATATTCATCAACTAGATTCACTTTCCTACCAGAAAAGGTAAATTGTATTATATATTTAAAACAATGAAACACACTATCATTGCATTATCAATACATTCATCGCTCCATTCAGAATCTAAACATGTTTAAGTACCAACTTTGACGATAAATAAATATATACCTTTCTATGTATTTTAAAAATAAAAAAAACTTCCTTTAGTTCTCAACGTAAATGGTAAATAGTACAACTTAACAATAGTGATTAGATATAAACAATTTTTCAGAATACAAATTGTTATGTTTTATTTATTATAATTTCAACAAAAGCTCAGTAATAAATGAAGGAAGTGTAAGAATGAGCGTAATCACAGTGAAAAAGGAACATGACGTTGAGCTGAGAGATACTATTGTAATATCGAAACCAGAACCTAAAAATGTATAGGTACCTAAGTGCTATTAATGCGGGGCCGAATAAATAAAATCGATTATATTGATTTCATATATCCGGAAAGATGTGTTCATATTAGATTGTATTTAGATTTTAAATTTTAAGCAGATGGAAAAAAATATAAATGTCAAGATAAATAAATAAATACCTTAGGGTACCCTAGGTACATTAATTTAAAAAAAAAAAAACGTCCATTTAAAACTTAACGTAAATAATACAACATAACAATGATGATTAGATATAAAAAAAGTTTTCGAAATGCAAATTGTTATGCTTTATTTATTATAATTTCAACAAAAGCTCAGAAATGAATGGAGGAAGCGTAAGTGTGAGCGTAATCACAGTGAAAGAGATACACGAAGTTGAGCCGAGAGGTACAGACAATAAAACAATATGTGAGAAAGATCATAGATACATTAATTAAGGCGCGGTCGTACGGATGATAGGCCAGTCATTGAATGGAAATTGAAAAGCATAACATATATATATATTGTACAGTGGTAAATGGTAATCAGGTATAATAATGAATGACCCGTACGCATACGGCTAAAATAAACAATACAATTCATAAACGGGTTAAGATTTATAATTATTTATAAGCCGCGGTTGATGTGAAGAGCACGGTGGTGTATGGTATATTCCAATGTTTGAATAATATAATATAATATAGAGACAAAATTAGCATGCAGATTAAATCTAGTATGATATGAAAACCAGAATTATTGTAGTTAGTCGGTGTGGGGTCGTAAAAAGGGGTGAAAAAATCATACCCGAGAAGTTTACGATGATAATATTATGTGAATATTACAATGGGTGTAGATTCAGTCAAGCGATTTTAAACTTCATAACCTCGAATTTCACCTGATACAGCGGACGGAAATTCGTGGAAGAGATGTATAGTGGAATTAGCTCGGTATGGGGAAAAAAATCTTATTAATGTAACAATGCTTCGGGAGGGGGGGGAGGAGGTATTATTGATTTGACAGAGTATAAGGCAAGAAAACGTCGAGTGAGACGTTACTCAAACATTATTGGATGGGAAAGAGAAGAGGATTCATAATAATATTATGAGCATTTCAATAATCTACGAAACGAAAAAAAGAGGAGGACGACTGTTAAAGTGAATTGTAGGTAAATATGAGATAAAAAATCATGTCGATTGTTAAACAATTACAATTTCGATTCCCTAACACTGTGTTATTTGAAACGATTTTTTTGTTAAGTTATTAAATCTAAACATTATTTCAGATTGAATTTTTACTGAATAAATCTAACCTTATAAGTAATTTAAAAATGAGGGAATTAATTACAATTATTAAAAACAGTCAATGAAATTGGATTTAAAATTTTTTTTAATTACTAAATCTAAATATTATTTGGAGTAATATATTTTTAGCTTATACTTATACTATTAAACTACCTTTAAATGTAAATGTATATTTTAGCTGTCAATTACATGTCCACGTTGAATTTTTACTGAGTAAATCATCCTTATAGGTAATTTACAAAATAGGGAATTAATAATTATTACTATTAAACATTTTCAATGAAATTGGATTTTTAAAAACAATAGTATGAAGCAACCGTCTTGTAATACTTATTCGTCAGTATTATAAAGGTGTGTTAAAGTTAATTTGAAAAGTTTAAGGAAGTTAAAGAATTTCAGTTTTCTTAAATTGCTAATTGGATTTAATAAACTTTAAAAATGGTTTTGATGCTATGGTTATATTTTTTAAATTATTTATATTGAAAATTTTTTTGTTTTTATCAACATCTTCAAATGCATATATTACTTTGAGTGTTCTTTTCTGATTTAAATGTATAATTAATTCATTTATTTTTGAATAATAAAAGTGTTTTGAATTAATTTATTTCTACTCGTAATTACTTGCTTTAATTTAGGTTGTTGGCACCAAACACTATTTATCTTCGTGTATATAATTCTAACGCGGTAAAACATATTTTTATAAATTTCGGTAAGTATTATTCAATTGTGATAAATATTTTACACATTATATTTATCAAATACTCAGAAAAAAAATCATTTAAAATAATAACGACCCTAATAATCTCGATTCGTTAGTTAAAATGGGCTACCTAAGGGTAATTGAAGGTTATGCGTTCAGAACTCTATGGTGTTATAATGTTGTATGCATAAAGAAGACCCCTACGTGTACATCGTATACAACATTAACATTTTAATTTGTTAATGGAGAGAATGATGTAAATAACTACATGTCTTTATGGTAATTTTATTTATTTTAACTTGAATAATATTATATCTACCATAGATGTAAGATTATTTACTACTATTATTTGCAGGTTTGGTGTAATACTTATTGGTAAAATAGGTTTACACAACAATACCATGATGTTAATATGGTAGACACTGTAAAGGTGTTTGAACAAAAATTATTTATAATATTAAAATTGGGAAATCACATACATTGGTTGGTTAATGTTGCATATTACATATTATGCTATCATAATAATTAATAATTGTATGTTTAAAAATAGCCTTGTCTTATTACCAATATATAAATATTTAGTATTTTCCCATAAGCTATTGTAAATTAACTAAATACATATATTAAAATTATATATATTTTTTTTGTTTTTTATTTATATCATTTACAATCTGTTACAGAATAAAGAATAGAATTATATTTAAATAGAAATTGTTGAGTCTTGAAAATTACAGCACAATTATTTGGGTTCAACTTGTTATGATTTACGGGACAGATATTTGCTTACATTATTATTTCGCACGATTTTGTTATATATGAACAATAAATGATCCGGACACATGTTTTGTTATTTAATTGGTTGAAACAAATTATATTTTTGGTCAAATCCATGTTTATTTCATATGTTTGACACTCGGCTGCAACTGAACCATTCATTGAGTAAATCAACACTAGATTGTTTAAACTTCACGAAAATAATTCATAGGTGGAAAAAAGTATAGAAAAATCGTATATTAGGTACTTGTGATTCAATAATTTCATGGACATTTTGTACCACTATTTAAGACCCAGATATTGAGTGAAGTGAAGAATGTATTGGTATTTTGTAATTTATTTTCCACGTTTGACAGATTATTCTGTAGTACACCAATTTATTCCCTCTCTTTCTCTCGCTCCCTCCCTTACCGTCACCACTGTTTCCGTCTCTCTTTATTATAAATTGATTTAAAAACTTATACGATTTATTTTCATTTCACTCATGCCTTTTGAATCAACATTTGTTTTTATTCATCTGTATATGACTCTCTATATACATAAATAGTGAGAGGGAAATATGATTTATTAGATATTTTTTGGAGTAAAGGAGTGTGTCTATTCGTTCATTACAAAACAGCATAATATACTCTTTGATGAATTACAATTTTTTTGTAAAACGAAACAGCGGTAACAAAATAATATATATAACTATGGCGTTTAATTCCGAATCCTCGTCGTGTCAAACATTTTACAGAAACAAAATACAAAAATACCAAATAAACCTCAGGTATACCAGCCATACCTGCAACTACCGGCTCTACGCAGGCACTTGGATTTAATTTGCGGAAGGCGGTGAGATCTTATGGGACTGATGCGCAGCTCATAAAACGTATATAATATTATTACTATTGTTTTATCGTTTATTCGCTTACCTGTAAGGCCTGAGGCCAGCTGCAGCTGTTGTTGAGATTGGCTGCAAGTCTGGTGTCGGAGCAGGGTAACGCCAACGAACCCGGCGTGTACTGGGCCGACTGTACCGAGATGATCGTACCGGTTGGACACGTCAGCGCCAACGATTGGGTCTCGCAGCCCACCCTGTGGTATGTCCTGAGCGTACCAGATAACAGAGCTGGAGAAAAACAAAAAAAAAAAAAAAATTCAAACCTCGAGACATTAATATTTCATTTAATAAATTATTACCGTTATAGGTACCTTTAAAGCTAGTTGTTATTTATACATATTTTTTTTTCGACGCATCGTAAATGTACTTTTTTAATGTCGCGTCGCGCAAAGTATAATGATAGATGGGCTCGAAATAAAACCCAAAAGCAGGTAGGTCGGTATAATTACCTAGGTACCTTTTATACAATATTATACCATAATATCATACGTGCGCGTGGTGTTTATGTGCTCAGAGTCATCGGCTTAGGATGCGTTCTCCCACTGGGGTACACACGAACTTTTGCGTGTGACGTATCAATATTTTGGGCGTTTCCTTTTTATTTACCTAATGGATTCGCGAGTAGCAAAAGGTGTGGGACCGTGCATAGGGTTAGAGTGGGAGTTATGCCATTGCTATTCTTCATCACGCTCAGTTTCGTTTCGATCCATTTTCACTGCGGTTTCCGTTCTATTTGCTCGGTTGCACAACAATGACTACCAAACTTGTTTGGCCTTACCGAATTCGGGGAAAAAAATATTCATGTATAATATGTACACGTAATAATATATACATATTACACTCTATACGCCATAAAACTTACATGGAAATAAATATATAAATACTTCCCCAAGATATAACGCAGTGTTATTGACGATAGCAATTTTGTTCGCCACAGACGCGTATTTTAAATAAAATTATACATTTTTTTTTCGTATTCAAATATTGTAAGCTCATTGTTTATTACGGTTGTATAAATTTATTTTTATTATTACTTTATAACGACGTTCTAAACTTATATTAGATTAAATATTTTTCAATCAAATTTGTAGCAATAACTCTTACAAACGCCACCAGCTGGATATGTATGCAAAACCAATTTTAGAAAATACTTGTAATCTTATTTTACATTCTCAACGAAGCGAAATATGCAAATGTACAAATGGTGTTTTTTAAGTAATTTTTATCTGTAATCATGTTTATTAGTAGAAAATGTGGCAAATTTCAAACGGAATTTTCTATTGATTGGACATATTTTATATAGTTGATGAGATTTTAAAAGGTAATTTTTAAATATTTTATATCAGTATTCCAAACACAAAGGAAAACTACTGGAAAAAAGTATTTTTAAATGTTAGTTATATACCTACTGCCATAAAAAATGTAATCATACAAAGCACTTGAATTTTTCATTAATTATTAATTTAAATTTTATGTTGAAGTGAAATAATTTAAAAAAGTAACATTTCCAGATTTATCATGATAAAACTCACAATTTTTCTATGACATAACCATTTAATATATGTTCAACCATAAAAAGAATGATTCAACAACCATTTTTTCCTTTATAACAAATGCAATACATTTTTAATTTATTTAAGTTTTGATTTTTTAGATTTCTCTTGGATCTTCTTCCCAAGTATACCTATTTAAGGACTATATTTTAAAATGCATACATTTTATGTACCATTTAAACAGTGTCCTGTGGTGTACAAATTTCTGTTTTTCAAATAAGAATCACCTTTTTTAGTATTTTTACTGTACATTTTTAATCATATAAATTTTAAAATTTTTAGTTGCTTTTGAGTTATTTTGACTTTGTATTGGTCCCGAGGAATAAGAATGATGGGTTTAGAATATATCAGGGCCTTGATGAATAGTACATTTTAGTTATTAATATCCAATAATATTTTATAAATTGTAAACATTTTTTGAGTATAAAAAAATACAAGATCGAATATTATAATAAAATCTATTTAATATTTTTATAAACCTATTTTTAAAGAAAATTATTTTTAGTATATTCATTTAAATAATTTACTCAGAAACTACTCATTGAAAAATTTTGAATTAGAAACATTAAGCTATCAAAATCATATGTATATTATAGGCACCTATTCCAATTAGTGGCGTTTACTCAATTATTTTGCACGGAGAAGGGGCATAATATATGTGTAGGCGTTGATATCTTAAAATATTTATGAAGCCCCCAAAAAAAGTCATTAGGTAGTGTATGAAAAAATAATTTTAGACAAGATATTAAATAATCAAAGGCCTAGTTATGTCAATATTTTTATATTGTATAGTATAGTTGTAGTATGTATATTATGATACATAATTCATATATTTCCACCATAATGCATTATAATATGTGCAATATTGCCAATATTGAATATATATTATATGTGCTATAATCATACGATATTGTTTTTATGAAGATAAGCATTATATTTTTAAGTTTTTTCTAAAATACATTATTTCATTAAAATGTCTTAGAAAATGGCCATAGAGGTAACAGACCCAAATATCCACCCGTGTATAGATGTTTTATTCTAATTATAACTTAATTACCCCTAAAAACTTAAGTTTAATTTTTTTTAATGGAAATAAGTAAAAAAATAATATCAACGACATCAAAACTGAATACAAACTTAACCATATTGTATATTATACTGAAGTAATTAATTGAGAAGGTTCATACAATATTATAGTATTATAGGACTGTGCCCTGTGCGTATGTTCCTAGAAGATCGAAGCTAGGTGACACCCGAAATCCGGTCTTGTTAAAGCCCTGGCTATAATTTTCTTCTGGGTATTCAAATTAATTTTGCTTTACTGCAATTATGTACATAATATTATGTATAGGCTTGAAATCTGGTTTGGTTGTATAAGGTATTGTTTAAAAAAACATTTATTTTGATTGTAATTATTTGATATTATCATCATTGACGATAATTTTAAATTTTAAATTCAAGAATAATATTCAAAATTCGAATAGTACACAATGCTGACCTGATTTTGTATCCCAATAGAGAATTTTAATAATGGATTACGGTATAAATTCAACTTAAAAATAAATCATTATAGATGACAGTGTAGCCATAGGGACTAAATATTCACTGAATTACTAAAATCGAGGTATGCCATCTTTGATTCAATTTGAGGAGTGTGACTTCATGGGTAAAGTTATTAAAGCTCAAATTGATATACATAATTCTCACATGCCATTTTTAAACACAATATGTTATTAACGATGTGAAAAAATTGTTTTGTATACCTACTGGTTTATTTTATTTTATCAGCCTAATGTATAATATAATTGTGTCAATAAATCCGTTTTGTGAAAGGTACCTAAATTGTTATTTATTATTTATTTAAATAAATACATGAGTTACAACACGCCAATATTATACCGTTGTTATCGAATTTCCAAAATATTCGAATTACAGTTGTGTTTATTTTATCGAACAAAGTAAAACGCGTATTTATATTATTCTAACTGGAAAATAAAAATCGTAATAATCTTAGTATATTACTGTATTTTACATTATATGTATATTATTGTATAATGTATTTTATTGTTTTTTGTTTTTTGTGTTTTTTTTTTTTTTTTGTAAATGAAATTTACTACACCAAGTTTTGTATCTTTAAACTTTTTTATTTTATTGCATTTAATAAATCACTTTTGTTTGTAGAGTCTTTTAGTAAGAGAATTATGTGTTTTTAACATTTCTCACATAATATCGTTTCTTTTGAAATCCATGCACTTAAGCTATTATATGTATACGTTTCGTAGGTGCAAGCGTAACGCCACAACTCATAAGAAATTCTAAGACTCGAAAATAATATATTTGATACAGGGTACCAAATTAACTTTTTGCGCAGACAAATAATGTCAAGTGTTGACCCTTTGATCATATAAATCAGATTTTTTTTAGAATATAATAATAATCTATGAGTTGTGGGTAAATTTTTTTATTTATTGACGAGATAGGTACCGGAAGCAGAAAAAAGGTTTACCATATTTTCGATATTTATGTCACGAGCACAATAAATATCGATAGGTAATCAAAAAAACATCGGAATAAATAAATACTATACATAGTGTGTACGATAATAATATTATAATCTAGTATTTTACATATTATATTGTGAGCCGTTTATTGATTTACGCTGTTATATTTGTAAACTAAAACGGCTTTATGAAAATAGTTTGATACAAAACATAATAATAATAATAATGTGATATGCATCATGCCAGCTATTATAAGATACGTACATATAGTTTGCTGTTAATAATAATAATGAAGATAGTTCCTATTGATAAATGCTAATTATATTGCAATATTATTTGTACGAATGAATAAACCTTTATAATTATTAAGTTTTTCGTTTAGCATTAAATGTGCTGTGTAATTTCAATATATTAAAATAATGGTATAAATCATATAAAATAAAATAAAATGGAAACTATTTATCTTGATTTGGAAAATTAAGAGGAAATAACTGCAAGCTTAACTGTAATATTTTCAGACAATATTGTATTGTTAGTTAAGTTTACATAACCATTACAACCGTAAAGCAATTAAACATTATTTGTACGAATTATTTAGGCTTTAAGAGTTTATAATATGTGACTTATATGTAATATAGGTACAATGGTAATTAATTACAGACAGCATTTTACAACGATTATACATATGTGCCTACATCATTAAATAAACTAAATCATTTATTTTAAAAACAAAATAGTTTAATCATCGGAGTTTTTTTAAAAAAAATTGTACCTAAATAATCTGCAATAGATTTACAATTTATATTTTAATAATAATTGTCGCTACTTAGAAGGAAACATCGTGGTGCGACATGGAGTTGTATAGGCATTTTATTTAGACACAGTTAACGTAAATATAAGTAATCAAAATTAATTAATAATTAATATTATTGAAATTGTTTGTTTACGATATCATCTAAAAAAGGTTTAAGTTTTTCAATGTTTAAAATAATATCAAGCAAAAATTGATGTTTTTTTAATGTACAGTTGTTTATTGCGATAAGAAATTTTTTGTTTAACAAAAACGAATTTCACATTGTTATACAAGACTCTAGTTTCATTAAATTAAGAAGCATTTTTTTATGTTATAAACTACATTTTTTATTGTTGCATCATAATATTATTATCAATTTTT